GGGACCTCAGTCCTGGGCAGAGGGATCACTGCTTCAGCAGGGACCTCAGTCCTGGGCAGAGGGATCACTGCTTCTGTGGGGACCTCAGTCCTGGGCAGAAGGATCACTGCTTTCGTGCCTCTGCTTTTAAGTCTGTGGTTCTTTGGATTATAAAAGTTGACTGGTTGATTTGAAATTTCTTTTTAAACTTTCTTAAAGAAATTGTCTATTGGACCAGGCACAGTGGCTCATGTCTATAATCCTAGCACTAGTGAGTGCTAGGTGGTTGGTTTGCTTGAACTCAGGAGTTTAGGACCAGCTGAGCAAGAGCGAGACCCTATCTCTACTAAAAATAGAAAAATTAGCTGGGCATTGTAGTGGGAGCCTGTAGTCCCAGCTACTTGGGAGGCTGAAGCAAGAGGATCTCTTGAGCCCAAGAATTTAAGGTTGCTGTGAGCTATGATGACACGGCACTCTACCCAGAGCTTCAGAATGAGACTCTGTCTCAGAAGAAAAAAGAAAAAAAATTCTCTGTTGATGCTGTTGCCCCCAGAGCACCTCAGAGACCCTTTCCCTGCCCTCCCTCTGGAAGCCTGCCTTTTTGTTTGAGCATGTCTACAAAATAATTCCCAGTATTTTTTCCCACACCGTAAAATATGATATATTTGATCTATAGCAGATAAATATATTACCAATAATTTTGCAGTACGTTTTTTCTTCAAACTTACTTGGAAATTAATTTAGCTGACAGCAGCGATGTCAACTCTCACATTTTTCTGCCTAGCTTTGTTCTTTGGGTATTCTAAAGTATAAAGAAGAATGAAAATTCTGATAGCAATAACCAAACACTGACAAGCTAACAAGACATGGAAAATACAACTCTTATTTCCATTTTAAAAATCATTTTATCATTCTATTACCATGCTATTTTTATGCAGTACTTGTCAGATTTAAAAGCATATCCACACACCTTATTTTCTCCCCCTAACACAGCTGTAACATAGGTCTAGCAGGTGCCATTATCAACATTATGGACGAGAAACAGAGCCTGAGAGAGGGCCTTGTCCAAGATCAAATCATGAAACCAGCAAGAGCCAGGTGCTTACACTGCAGAGAAACTTTGCATGTTGAGGTGTTTATTGTTAGAGCTGTTGCCGGATGGCTGTTAGTCACCTACCCCTCAGGCACCTGATACCTTGGCTACTGAGTCCTCAGGAAATCAACAGGGTGCTCTTGCTTTCATTATCATCTTCACTGTGGAAATTCAGCAGAGTTGATTCAACAGCCATTATGAACTTGAGCAAAGCCCATCAGATTAGGTTTGTAATCGCAGTCGTTGCCTGTCCTCAGCATCCACGTGATTTTGGGGAAGTCAAGTCCCCCAGACCACCTTGGTGGGAGGCAAAGCCTCAGTTGCTAGGAGCACAGATTGCCCCTGACAGAAGAATACAAGTCCATGTGTCTGTTCTGATGGGTCATGGATCAATAAGTGACAGAAAATAAAAATTTACAAAAGTCTGTTATAAGGCCTTCAAAAAATAATAAATGATACTGTCTGTAGAGTTAGACCTAAGTTCAAATCCTGACAGTTGTGAAATGGGGCAAGTTGCTGCTGTGAGGATTAGATGAGATAACACACAGGACGTGTTTGGTGCTGGGCCTGACACTGGTGAGTGGGGGAGCTGGCGGCTCCTCTTGGGTCACCCCATAAAATATAACAAAACCTAGAGTTCACTACTTCACTGGACCGTACTGGCAAACCTACCTCAGTATGGGTGAGTCAACTGTTGTTAACAGTTTCAAAAAATTATGTTTACCTCCTTGGTGTTTTTTCAAATTTTTGCCCTTTAGGACAATAGGAAATGATAAAGGTCTCGGCAAATGATAAGGCCATTGCCAAGGAGAGAAATTGGGATATTAACATAAACAATAAGATTTATCTTTTTCAACCCTGCTGATTCCCCCGTTATTGAGCCATATGAGTAAGCAAATATATACCTGAAATGGGGTTACATATGGTCTAAGAATTTTCTTAGGTATCCACAGAAATAAGGCAACAAGGAGAAATAAAAACAAGGCATATCTAGGCTGCCACGAGAAAACATCTTCTGTCAAAAGAATGAAGGCTGCAATCTCATCCTTCCTGCCTCCCTGAGCAACTCTGATGACATTGACCCAGGTCAACAAGCAGGAGCATTTTATTTTTTCATTTAAAAAGAACTCACTTGTATTTTGCCTGTTCATAATGTTTTTTCCAGCCTGATCCACATTTATCAACACCACTAATCAATAAAGATATTAATAAATAAGAATTTACATTGCAGATGGAGGGAACTTTGGCTTTGGAATCTAGCAGATCTGGAATAAGATCCAGGATGTCTTTGAGCTTCTTTAATCCTTAAGCAGTTCACCTTTAGATAGAGAGACTGTCTATTTTCACCTCTAGCAGAGATAACGATGATCATACTAAAAACAGCACAACAGTGATAGTTAGCACTAATTACCATGTGCTGCGCGCCATGCTAAGCTTTCTGTATGTCTAATTCCCTCCCACAACCCTCTCAGTTAGATACTGTAATTATTGTCACTTTAAGATGAGAATCTGAGGCATAGATAGATAATAGACTTGCCCAAGATCACACACCTAGTAAGTGATTGAACAGGAGCCAGAATTTCAGCCCAGGCTGTTAGATGCTGTAATTTATGGTCCTAATCACTACACTGTCCTATGCTGAGTTAAAAATGGGATGGGGCTGGGCAGTGGCTCACGCCTGTGACCCAAACACTTGGGAATCACTTGAGCCCAGGAGTTAAGGACCAGCCTGGGCAACATAGTAAAATCTCATTTCTACAAAAAATGAAGTAATTAGCTGGGCCTGGTGGCATGCACCTGTTGTCCTAGCTACGTGGGAGACTTAGGCAGAAGGATCGTTTATGCTCAGGAGTTAAAGGCTACAGTGAGCTGTGGTCACACCACTGGACAATAGAGTAGAGCCCTCTCTCGCCCTGTCTCTCTCTCTCTGTATATATATATGTGTGTGTGTGTGTGTGTGTGTGTGTATATATATATTTTTTTTTTTTTAATAGGGTAAGAGAAATAATGTATTTGAGACATCTGAGTGAGTGACATACTATCAGGAGGCCACATCATTTTTCTAGTGGTGACAATCCGAAGAATGGTGATTGGTGCACAAGCTTTTAGTCCCACTTTGTGGGCAGTTGTACACCTCAATGTTAAGAGTGTAGTCTGTCACTTACTAAAAATAGAGCTGTGCCTTTTTTTGAAAATACATATTAAAAGCAATTATGTTGGCCAGGTGTGATGGCTCACTCCTTTAATCCCAGCACTCTAGGAGTCTGAGTTGTGTGAATTGCCTGAGCAAGACTGAGACTTCGTCTGTACTAAAAATAGAAAAAAAAACTAGGGGGGCATTGTGGCCAGCACCTATAGTCCCAGCTACTGGGAAGGCTGAGTCAAAGAGGATCACTTGAGCCCAGGAGTTTGAGGT